GGAGCTCTGGGGCTATGGTTTGAGGGGTTTTGGGGTTGAGGGTTTAGGGTTTAGGCTTTTAGGGTTCTGGAGCTCTGGGGTTATGAGGGATCCTTAAAGGGTTGTACAGGGTTCTATAAGGGTTTGGGGTTGCGGGGTGTTGGGGGTTTGTGGGTTAGGGGTTTAGGGTTGAGGGGTGTTAGGGGGTTATGGTTTAGGGCCTAGGGTTTAAGGTTCTGGAGCTCTGGGGGTAATTATGAGGATCCTAAAAGGGTAGTACAGGACTTTAAAATAGGATCCCTTATAGGGGTTTAGGGTAGTATACTGCTGATGATCTATTACCATAATTGCCGGGATTTGGGTTCTGAGGTTTTGGGGTTCAGGGTTCAGGTTCTGGGGTTACCTTTTTGGGGTCTTAGGTAGCTTCAGGTTTTGGGGTACTATAGGCAGAGCTATCTGAGTTTGGAGTTCTTTGGTTATGGTTTGGGGACTAGTGGTAAGGGGTTCCCCTCTTTAGGTCCTTAAGGGTTTAGGGTTTTTGAGGTAATAGGGTTTAGGGTTTTGGGGGTTCAGGGTTCAGGGGTCTTAGGGTGTAGGGGCAGGCTATGGGGTTCGGGGGTTCCGGGTTGGGGTTCAAGGGTTAAGGGTTCAGGGCTGCCGGGTTTTTTGAGGTTCAGGGGTTTACTTAAAGGCTCATGGGACTTAGTAAGTAAGGGCTTAGGGTTCCCTTTAAGGGTACTATAGGGTCCTATAATAAGGGTTTAGGGTTTAGGGTCTACTTAAAGGCTCATGGGACTTAGTAAGTAAGGTTATAAGTAGCTTATAATTAGGATAACCCCACTTAGGGGACTACTTACTAAGTCCCATGATCCTCTAAGTAGGGTCTGCATTGTCAGGCCTGCCGCCCGGAAGCTGCAACTGTCGGTCCTCAGGCCCTCCCTTGGGATTTGCGGTTTCAAGCTCAAGAGTTTAGAGTTTAGGGTTTCGGTCTTACTGGTCTAGGGATTTAGGCTTTGCGGTGGACGGTTCAAAGTTTCGCTTCGAGGGTGTTTGGGACGAATGTCCCGTTAAGTATAGCCGTGAATGCAACAAGCTACTGTTTCAAGCTCTATACCTTGCAGAACAAGAAATTACGGGGTCAAAACCCTGTTGTTTGAAGCATTTGTTCCTTGGCCATTCTGGTCGCCTAAACCCTAAACCCCAAACCCTAAACCCCAAACCCGGACTCCTTAAAGGGATCCTGGAGTCTTTGAGTAGGGATGTCTACAAGGGTACTATAATATAGGGGCTTCTTACCAATTAGAATAGGGTGTTCTAAAGGGGTCTATGAGGGATACTGTAAGGACTTTATTTAATTAGAATTGAAGGTTTGGGTTTTTTGTGTTTAGGGTAGCTTCTCAAAGAGAGTCGAACTGCAGGTTCAGGGCACAGGAGCCCAAAGCCGTCTTCAAATTATTGACGGCCCCTGTGTTCATATTAAGCCCTTAGCTGCACAAATCGCATGTACAGCTTGCCTAAGCTTCTCGTACCCTAAACCCTAAACCGTTCAAGACCTGCAAGCCAGAAGCCATCGAGTCGGGCTACTACCCGAAGCCCCAAAAGCCGACACAACGGTACTGCGCAAGCCTGCTTACCAATGCCTTAGGTACTGCCCCCATGCAGTAAGAGTCTATAATCGGGCTACTATTAAAGTCCTAATATATCTATATAATGAATATTCAACTGTTTCTGAGTGGGTGCCGTACCCAACCAATGCCATTCTCTGGGACTTTTGATTATATACTATGCTATGCTATACTGTACCATACTGCAGTATGCTATATTAGATAATATACTGTACTATACCATACTCTACTGATACGAATACGAAGACTAATTCTAATACGAATACGAATACTGGTACTGCCTGGAGGATTCAGTGGATCAGCCTCCAGGACATGAAATTCACAGCAACTGTGGTAAAGCGTGGGTGCTAAATGTGGCAGTTTCTTACTCTCAAGAATGGGTGGAAGTAAGCGCAGTTCCAAGGGAACCCTGCAAACCAACACTATTCTCTAGGACTCTTCATCACAACTTGTAACTTATAACTGTACCTATTGAAAAATGATGAAGACCCGTATGCTACATCCTCATCGTAACCACTTGAAGACACCCTAAATGTCACGTGGTTGTCACTAAAAAATTAAGCTAGATCAAAAGCTATACTTTGTTATGATCCCATAAGTATATCGGGGTTTCCGAAATCAGGGGGTGCCTTGTTTAGGGGGTCCTTATAGTTAGGATGCTGCTATTTAGGGTGCTATATAAGGCTTCCTTATTTTTGGGAAAGGAAGCTCCCATATAGTGGTCATTTCCCCGAGCATTACTTACAGATCCAAACTGTAAAAACCAAGACCTATCCTCGACCCGACTGCCAGGTCGCGGAACCAGCTTGTGGTTTAGGGTACTTTCCTATATACAAGGTTGATGAATCTTGATGATTCGTTCTTCGGTTGTCTAAAGCACTATTTTGACTCTGCGTCCAATGCGGACAATGAAAACAGTTTCAAGACGCATAGTCCCACACAACACCTGGCTGCAGGGGAAGCTGGCCGTCGACTCAGCTTTGTCGGCATATAGCTTCATATGCAGGACCTGAAGTTCACCTTTCGGCCGAGGCCTTCAAAGTTTTCCGCAAGGCAACTAATCTTGTAGACGACAGGCTGCCTCAAACACTTCAGAGCTCCGTTGGGTTTGGAGTGTCTCTGGTAGCTCTCCTCAAGAAACTAGTCAATCATTAAGGCGCCTCACGCCTCCAAGTTCGTGCTCCAACTCTCATGTTGAACGGTTTGGGGTTTAGGTGTTGCTTGAATTTCTGTCATGACGGAAATGACGAAATGCAGGAAATGCGTAAAGTTGTTTGATCACCAAGCACGCCGATCCATATGCGTACGTAATTCGCATCCATGAGCCTTTGAATACCAATCTTGTTGGTAAGGATTGGTCTGGGTTCCGCGATCGTGCTGTAGTATAGCTGAGGTTTCGTCGACTGCTGATAGTCTGTTCTCCCAAATCCCTAAACCCTGAGCCCAAATCCCTAAACCCTAATAGCCCTAAACCCTAAACCCTCTTTTGTTCGCGCGGGCGAAGGTGATTGCCGGCCACAAGGGCTGGGGCCTTATTCCAGTCCCCATGATACCAAGCAGAGTACATAGTACTGTAGTCGTGGTAGTAGTAGTAGTAGTAGTCGTCGTCGTCGTCGTCGTCGTCGTAGTGGTAGTGGTAGTGGTAGTGGTTGTGGTTGTGGTTGTGGTTGTGGTTGTGGTTGTGGTAGTAGTAGTAGCAGTTGTAATAATTGTAGTAATTGTAGTAATAATGACAGTTAATAATAATAAGAGTAGTGCAACAGCAATAACCATGCCACCCAAAAGACTATTGAGTCCGGGTGGCGGGGTTTGAGGTCGCGGAGTGATCCTATGTCCTATGTTAGAAAGTGCCCTAACTCCCTACGAATCTTGATTCAACACCACATAAAGATCTTTGTAAAGTCTTCTAGAGTCCTTATGCCCGTACTGAAGGTTTTGAGTTCTAAGCTTTCCCGCTCGAGTCTGTCGTGACTGCAGCTGGGGGTGGTTGATTTCTATAGGGTTTGTTTGTACAGGCTGCGTTTGCTTGTCGTGATGGTGCAAGATTAGTGTGCAGCTTTTGTGTTGAGCTGTACCTTAACGACGGAACGTCACAACCGCATCCCGTGCTGGCGTAAGTGTCTTCAGGGTGATGTTGTGCAGATTTGAGCAGTCTTTCATTACTCTAGAAGTCTGAAATCTTCAGTAGGTTTGAGAAGGGAGGGGTGTTATCGATAACCGTATGCAGAATTATCAAAGAGTAGTAGTATCACTGGATTTTCAGGCCCCTCGACATTAGATATGCACTTGGTTGACGTCCCAGACCGCTGGACTCTCTTTCCTATCGATTTTGATTGTTTAGTTCCTTGGGTGCTTGTGCTCTGTTTTGACAGGAACCTCCCAAAAGTAGTTTCATACTGACCTAAGATGCAGAGGGAAACGTTTTTCGTCTGAAGTTGCGACCTCCGCCCAAAACTTTCACCAAACCTGTAAATGCCAGTAGTAGCCGGAGATGAAGTCCAAATTTCGCAGTTCCTGATTCGCGGACTAGCGAACAGCCGAAACCCTATCTCCGTCGCATCATCCCAGCGCTCTCCACACTCATAAATCTCATGATAAGTGCACTATCTCTGTGCAACAAAGTAGTCCTGCAAGGCCACTGTTGAGGGTCAAAACCCTTTCCTGCATCGAACGTTGAGACGACAATAGGAACCGACCTAAAGCCCCTTCCAAAGCCAGATAGAACCGCTCTTAAACACCTTAATCGGGCCTAAATCCACAAGCCCGAAGTTCTGAGTCCTAGCCACTTAATCCGAAAACCCGATATCCAGCCAAACCCCAAATCCAGCCTTTCCGGTCAGCCGCAGTGTCGGCTCGTGGGTTCTTTCATCAGTTAGCCGCTTCGTCAGAAGCCATCGGAATTCGAGCGGGCTCAGGGCTTAGGGGTTTTGGGGTTCGGAGCCCTACCCTAAACCCGAGACCTGATGCCCTACCCTGAACCGTAAGACCGAAAGCCGAACCCTGATGCCCTACCCTAAACCCTAAACCCGAACCCGACGCCCCAACAAACCAAAGCTCGAAGACCCAACAACCCTGAAGCCATCCTCCGGGTTTAGGGTTTGGGGGGGTCTAGGGATACCAGGGTTTAGGGTTTAGGGGTCTAGGGATTAGGGTTTAGGGTTTAGGGGGTTAGGGTTCAGGGGTCTAGGGATACCAGGGCTAGGGGCCCGTTAGGGTTTAGGGTTCAGGGATATTTGGTAGCAGGCTTACGGAACCACGAGCTGAACATGGGTTTAGGGTTTAGGGTTTAGGGTTTAACATAGCCCAAAGACTTGCTCCACCCTATACTAATTCGTAAGCCCAAACCCCTAAGGCCCTAAACCGTGGCCTTCTTTACTACACCCGCAATCCGATGAAATGCAGCGGCCGACTGTCGGTTGGCGGACCTCTCTGCGTGAGTGCCTTGTCAACCTAGAGACTCCAATATTCCTTAATTCAGGAATATGGTTCAAATTATAGTAGGATCCCTAATATGATTTAAGGTATATTCTTTTATAAAGGGATATTGGAATCTCTGGGAAGCTGGATTTGAAGGCGATTTGTGTTCTTCGGAAGTGTGGGCTCCTTACAATTTCAGCTCCTTTTTAGGGCTCGTTAAAGGGTTCCTTAAAGGGTAGTATAAGGGTGTAGGGTTCCTTTTAAGGGTAGATTTAAGTCTATGGCTAAAGACACCCTAAACCCTAAACCGTAGTTAAAGAATCAGGGAGTTTTAGGTTCGGGACTTGAGGATGTTTCCCGGACCGATGCCAGTTTAGGTTTTCGGGTTGCAGGCCGGCGCATGGCTTCTTAGACTTAGACGAGCAAAGTCAAAGCGAGGTTAGTTCTTTACAAAAGCTCATGTCCCAAACTAAACTGACCTTAAACCCCAAACTCTAAAACCCTTAACCTCCTACCCCTCCAAACCCTAAACCCTAAACTTCCTACCCCTCCTAAACCCTAAACCGTTGTAGAACGAAGCCTGATGAAGAACAACTTCGAAGCCCTATCGTCGAAATTCAACATGGTGATGTATGTACTTTGGCCCGAAGGTATACCCAGGAACATCTTTACCACATAATTATTGAATCTACCTTAAACCAATTCAGCCCCTAATGATTCAAGGTACACTCCTTAATTAAGGGGTATTGGGCTCTCTGGGTAAAGATTTGGAAAGGGTTTTGGGGCATGGCATCTGTACCCCCCCAGGGTGAATGTACAAAAGCAGAAAATACTTCGGCCCTAAAGTAGTCCTTATGTGTGTACTTTAATGCCAAGTAACTACGGTTTAGGCACATGGACCCTTACGGGAATAAAACTCTAGAGAGAGATGGCAAAGCTGCGGAGCTACTACCTGCGCGGGCCTTTCGATGATGGAGTTGAGGTCTGGGAAGCAATGATGCAGGATTGGTGCAGAGAGCCACACCCCGTTCCCAACACGCAGACCCCTTTGCTACCGGACCGCAGCAAGTTCACGACGGAGGCCGAATTCTGATCAGCTTTGCGTGTCTATGAGAAGCATATGGACTATCGCGTGTCCATGCGTCAGATCTGGTCCGATTTCGACAAGCACCAGCACCAGCACCAGCAGCAGAAGCAGCAACATCATCACTAATACCATGCATCGCCATCAATTTTACCATCATCAAAAGAGCGGCATCACTTCGCATGAGTGTCGCCATGCCCGTCAGCATCACCATCGCCATCACCGTCACCCCCACCAGGATCGTCGCTGCATCATCACCACCACCATCATCGTCGTTTTTTGTCACCGTTATCGTCGTCGTCATCATCACCGTCATCGCTGTGTCGTCGTCCGTCTGGACAGACAGCATATACTCATATGAGGGCTCAAGTGTCGCTGGCTTGCAAAGGGAGAGGGGAGTCATGGCTGCCTTTCGTGACCGGTGCAAGACCAACAAGGCTGGGTTGCACTTGTCCCCTTCTCAATCTTCTTCGTGTCCGTGGTCATGTCAGCGTTCCACCTTCTTCTTGTGAACGCAAAGTTCCCCGCATTTTGACATTGTCCGTAGAGCATGGGGCCATGTCAGGGATTCTTGACCCGAGATAACCATCTGCTCAACCGCGTGGCGGGTAAATCTGGAAGCTTTTGCATTGAAGACTTGACGAAAAGGCTGGTGGTAGGACCTGCAATCCAGCGGACTCGATGAGTAGCTAGGAAATTGCAGGGTGCTAAGTCCGCCTGCTGCAGAACCCCAACCATGCCAGTTTCCCCGTCCTCGCCAGGACGAGCCAAGATCTATGCACACAGTTTCTACATGTATTTGCCTGTTGACTAGTCATGCGAACGGACCTCGATACCTGGTCCGATGCTATGGTGTCGCTATAAGAGCTATGAGTTGTACCATGCGCAGTCCAGAGCAAGGTCGCGTTTTGCGTACCTCCATGGGCTCGCTTGCCGAACCATGGAGCAGCACTGTGTGTTACATCCCGCCAACGCAACTTTGGCGCAAGAAACTGATGCCACAAGCTAATCATAGCTTGTAGCCTTCTGTGACCTCAAGAGGAACAGAGCCATCCCGTGCATAGACGACTCGTCGCGCCTCTCGAACGAGAAAACCTGCGAGTACCGAGTCTGCCTGCCAGGGATCAGGATCTGAAGCGTGGCTGTTGATGTCTTCGTTCAGTTCTCAAGTGTTATTCCAGGTAACGGAACGGACGATGCATTGACGTGTTCTATGGAGTTTAGGTTCAATCCAGCTGTAGGGATGAAGTGTCTGCAGCTCGGTTTTGCCTTCGAGTCCGAGTTACGCTGCATTGTGCGTTCGCGTTTTTCTTGAATGGGGAAGGCATTACGCTGACGGCACACACTGCCGAGGCCCCTTCCATGAATATCTGCCCCCGGTGGCAGAACTTGACCTGCTATCTCCAATCGATCCGGCCATGCTGTCATTTGCTAAAAAGCGATCAATATTCTTTGGAAAATGTGAGGTCACTGACTTGTGCGGAGGTGCAAACATCGTGGTCCGTGGCCTGCAGCAGTCGAGATATATCCATGTGGGACGATTTTCACATGGGCCAGACGAATCAAAACTGCAGCTTACGCAGACGGACAGTCTGCAACAATTTGTCGTCGCTGTGAGGCGTGCATAATTTCGAGCTTGCCACACATGGTCTTGCACAGCGTGCTTTGGCAGCGTGCGCAGACTGCCGCTGCAGAAGCAACCGACGAAGGGGAGGGCGAGATCCGGCTTGTTGTTGCATATCCTATGTGTCTAGAAGACCTTCGCCACGAGGCTCTGACCATCAAGCTGCTGCCGGGCCGCGAGTGGACGCTATCACTGGACAACGCTTGTGCGTAGTTGGTCCCACGAGAAGTGCGTCCGTGTCACACTTTACAAAGTGTTGCCGGTCACGCTTGGGCGGGGGTTCTACGAATGCTTCGGTGTCGCGCCCCACGCATGGCTTTTCCAGCCCGCTGCTGGTAGCACCTGTTGCTTCATGTTGAATGCCTGGGAAATGGCAAAGCTTCGGAGCTGCTACATGCATGGGCCTTTCGATGATGGAGTTGTCTGGGAGTGTGGGAAGCAATGATGCAGAGGCCCACACCGCCTTCTCAACGCGGAGGCCGCTTTGCTACCGGACTGCAGCAAGTTCACGACGGAGGCCGAACCCCGAACAGCTTTGTGTGTCCGCGTATGGACGATCACATGTCCATGCGCTAGATCAGACCCAACTTCGACAAGGCCGTTAAATTGATGTCTTCTTTCAGTTCTCAGGTGTTGTTCCAGTTGTTCCAGGGAACGAAACGGACGATGCTTTGACGTGCTTTGTGGAGTATATGTTCAGTCAAGCCGTGGGTTGAAGTGCTTGCAGCTCCGCTTTGCCTTCGAGTCCAAGTTTGGAAACCGCAGATAAGGATCGAAATATAAACATTTCAACAACAATCAGGGGTCAAAGGACCAAGTAAGGATCAACGATAGTGAAATATGGACCATCAAAACCAAACATGGACCAGCCTTACAACCAGCCCTACACCCTAATTACACTCAAAACCTCAAAGTATACCCCAAAGACGAATAGCCCTACTTGGAGGGTCGGGGGACATAGCAAGTAGGTCGGAAGCAGACGTATAAGTACCCTGAAATGGATCCCAATCAGGGTTATGATTCTTTTTAGGCCAGAAAGTTAGCTACTTTACTAAGTCCCCCGACCGTTCAGGTAGACCCGCACCCAAGGCTCCTCGAGTCGTGCGCAGATGGCAGTTTTCACCCGCAGATCGGTTTCAACCGATCCTGGGCCGGAGAATAGGATTCATCGTTGAGGGCTTAGGGCGTAGGGTTTAGTCAGAAGCCACACTACCTGAATGTTTAGACTAGAGTTTTGGTGTGCATCTCACCAAAACCATGGTAGGAAAACTTGAAGACAGTAAGAATAAGCGCAAAACCGTCCGCTTGGTCTGCGGAGCCGGGCTTGGCCTCGTTTTGCTGGCAAGCGCGTACCATGCGGCACGTGGTCGGGGCACGGCAATCGACGCCCCATACTATAGAACCCTAGCTTGTGCAGCGCGCGTATGACACATGTTTTTGTTGATCGTCTTGGGCCTTGGGAGTCTCGAACACTGCCATGACTGTCACACACACACACACATGCCCGAAACCGCAACGCTCACCGAACGTTTCATCACCCCACTCCCCCAAACTCACATGATTTCCTATGCGTTAAATGTCACCGCCGAAACAAACTCTGAACCCTACAAACCTCAAACCGAATAAAGCCACCACAACTATCTATTGATAGGCCGAGAATCGCACCAGCTTCCATTTTTGATTTCCCGGATGCTTGTAGGAACTGTCAAAAGCCGTATACCAAACCCTTCGAATCCCCAGCCGCCAAAGCAAACCGTTCAACCGATCTGATGACCGACAGCCCTAAGCCACATGCTGCCATGGAACCCTACGTCGCTGGATTCTGGTTTCCAAAACTTTCGGATCCGAAACTATACTATCCCGAACCTAAACCCTACAAGCCCTAGGCCCTAATGCCTAAAACGCAAATCCCGCAACCGTAATAACCTAAGCCACAAAACCGCAAAAGGCAAGCCTTGTCTAGAGTAGTCTATAGAGTTATAGACCATCCCCGGAATGTCAAAGTGCAAATTCTAAACCGCAGCACTCAGTCTGCGCCGCTCCCCCCGTAAATCATAAAAGCCCGAAATGGTATGTCTCGACTCATCTGAAAATCCATATTCAACCCGAAAAAACACACACACACACACACACACACTGTGTGTGTGTGTGTGTGAGGTGCATTGGCTTGTTGGGCGAAAGGCCAGTCGTGGCAGGCCAGCAAGTTGCCGCCCTGGTGGTGGTGGTGGTGGTGGTGGTGGTGGTGGTGGTGGTGGTGGTGGCGGCGGCGGTGGCGTCGGTGGCGGCGGTGGTCGTGATTGTGGTCGTGGTCGTGGTCGTGGTCGTGGTCGTGGTCGTGGTCGTGGTCGTGGTCGTGGTCGTTGTGGTCGCGGTGGCGGCGTTGATTGTTGTTGTTGGTGATGTTGTTGTTGGTTTTGTTTTGTTGTGGTGGCTGGTGTTCGCTATGCTGGCTGTTGGTGCTGGTGGTGCTGCTTCTGCTCTGGCTGTTCTTGTTCGTGCTCATGTTGATGCGATGCTGACGATCCTGATGCTGCCCGCTGCGGCTGCTGCTGCTGTCGCCGCTCTTAGTCCTGATGCTGGTGCTGATGTTCAGGCTGCTGCTGGTGTTGCCGTTGGTTTTTGGTGGTGTTCCCAGGCCCCTGGACTAATTGCATAACTGCGTCTATGTTTTCCCGTCTTATCTGAACCTTTGGACACACGTCTTGCGCCCTGAGCCCATCCTCGTCCTTCTCAACGAAATGGCGGCCGGGCGAGTGCAGCGAGATGCCTTTAGCCATCCGGCATGCAGAACTGAAACAGTTTAGACCCGAAGCCCAGACTCCACTAAGTGTCGAGCTCAGGCTTTAGGGTTCCGCTAGCTTTGCAGCATTGTTCTGAAACCTGCCCTAAAGGTCCAGGTACGTTTATAATATATAGATTAGCCTCAACGTAGTCCTTATAAGGTACTTGAGGGCTCAAGTAACTAGCATATGGGCACATGGACCTTTAGACCATAAAACAAACGGCCTTAAACCCTAAATGCTGGGACTGGAAACCATCAGTACGTGATCGACCAGCGTCGCTAGTGGAACAACTCGGAGGTTGGGGTGCTTTCTCAATAGAGTAGGTAACCATATAACTACAGCTATAACTACTCCTTACATGATCCCAAAGTTTAGCCTCAAGTTCCCTTATGAGACTGGACAGGTAAGCTCCAGAGCCATGATGCCAAATGGAGCAGCTGCGCTTCAAACTCAATCAATGCATGCTACATACATATGTACATACACACAGACGCGTATTATATATGTACGTACACACACACACACACCTTCATACTACATACCTACATGGATGCACATACATGCATGCAAACATACAGGCATACATCAGTACCTAGGAGTAACTATATCTACGGGAGGTGGAACTGCGATTTTGGCAGTGTAGACCCAGTCTGACTTAGTGTAGACGACTGTTTGATTCGATAAACGTCCCTGAAGAATCCCTTCTTCAGGGGCCTCAACGTGGGTTTAAGACGTTTGGCTCTTTGTCAGTCAGGGTGCTCAAACACAAGACCTTAGACCCTAAACCCTAACTCCCAAACTCCATGGAGCCCACACTGAGGTGCTACTTACGCCATCACTACTGGGGCGAGCCAGGCTCGCTGGCAGGGTGCCGTGGCGATGCTGCGCAGCCATCCAGAGGCATTCCGGTGGTTTGCGGTTCATCCTTTTTTGGGTTAGAGTTTTCTATAGTCTCCTTATGGATTATTTTTTGTTTTTGTTCATATAAAACACAAGAGCATATTGACGATATTGTTTATATTATGGTTCTAAGGGGGTATAGTTTTAGGGTGTGGGGTCAGGGTTCAACTTTTCCGGGTTAGGGTTTCAAAGTAAGTTCATGGGTTTCTGAGTTTGTTTTTTTGTTTTGGGCCGGGCAAATATCCTACACTGCAGTTCGGATTTCTTGTTTCACATGTGGGTAATTCTCTAAATTAGGGTCTCTTTTGGCTTCTGTACTCGCTTGGGGACCTAAAATGAAAAGGAACCCTAAAACCCGAAACCCTAAACCCGTTTACCCATGTGGCTGTCATGTGACTGTCAGGATGGGTGATGGGTTTGCCAGGGTTTAGGGGAGTCTGGCTTGTTGGTGTGTGTGTGTGTGTGTGTGTTTGTGTGTTTGTGTGTGTGTGTGTGTGTGTTTTGAAGGTGGTTGGCGTTCCTGCTTGGGGGAAATGTGTCTAAAGTTGGTGTGATTCAGCAGGGTATGTTTTGGGGTCTGACTCTGGCTTTGGGGTTTCTAGCTTTGCCACGCAGTTGTCAAAAAGTTTTGCACTGATACAGAGTATAGAGTTCGTAGTTGCGTAACCTGTGTATACTTCTTGAACTTACGAAACCGATATTACATAATTACACATCTTGAATTGGTCGGAAAGGGCTCAGGAAACCGCTGCGGCTCAAGGCATAGCGTACCGGAGGAGAGGCGGTTGCCAGGACCCTCCAAGTGCCCTCTAATTGAGCCTTTATTATGGTCATTGCCTTTTTGGTGTGGGTTGCTCGGGGGTCTAGGTGGTCTTAGGTGTAGGAGTCACGGTGTAGGTTGATTGCTTAGGGTTTAGGAGTCACGGTTTTAGCTTTTAGGGGGAATGATTTAGGATTTACCTGGGCCCTATCAAACCTCCCTTGTTAGGCATTCTTATCATCGTTTCCTTACTTAGAGGATCATGGGACTTAGTAAGTAGGTTATAACTGGGTTATAAGTCCCCTAAGTGGGGTTACCCTAATTATAACCTACTTAAAACCTTGCTTACTAAGTCCCATGAGCCTTCAAGTATAATAAGTTCAGCTGCCTTCTTTGGAAGCCGGGCTTCTCGAGACTTGGGCCTGGAAACGGCATCATGGTGCGTGCTCTCATGCCCGTCGCTGAACGCCGTGCGCCTCCAACCCTGGATCCCCCTTGACCTGGCTTTGGGGAAGTCTGGTGCTCAAGTAGCACACCACGCACTAGCTTGCACACAGACACACACTCACTCCTTCACTCTTAACTTGGAGAAGTACCAGTTCCTGGCTTTCAATGGCCTCGTTATCCTCATACGCCGTGGCCGGACCCAGGCGTCGGTAGATGAGGCGCCATACGACGTGGGCGTCGTCGCGACCCCGGGACATTGGAGTTGCCCTACCAGTAGGGTTTAGGGCTTAGGGTTTAGGGTTCAGGGTTTATAGGGTTTAGGGTTTACTCCTCCCGCAGTACCGCTGTTCACTTGCCTCATTGTATCCTTAATTTCAATCTCATAAACCGTATCAGCCATGAATGCCCACCTTTTTAGGGATCCTTTGAATTAATGACTTCCTTGTTTACGTCCTTAAATAGGTAAGTTATTCGGGTTTACGGTAAATCCCAGAACCCCAGTAGAAGTAGAGTGGTAGCCTTGAACCATTTTGCGGCTTGCGGTCCTATAATCCCGGTATAAACCCAATATAATCCCAAGGGTTATAAGCTTTAGTTCCCCAAACATACTAGACCCCCCCCCACTATTAACATACACCAAATACCCACTATTAAGGGATATTAGGGCCCTAAGCCCTGAACCCTCTATTACACTTCAAAGAAAGGAAAACCTCTATTAAAAGGCCCTTAGGGGCCCTGGAAATAGGCTAAACTTAGCGGCTTCAGAGTTTGAAGGCCAGTGCTGCGAGTTGGAGCGCCGACGGGGCCTCAGCAAGTCGGGCCTCGAGATTTGAAGTTTCTTATAGATCCCTTTAAAGGGACCCTTAAAGGAACCTTATAACTACCCTTTAAGGAACCTCCTCCAACTGTCCGATTGTTGATTCCTTTAACGTGTTTTGGAGGTTCTGTTCTGTAGGATTTTCTGTAGACTTGCTGTTTTTGCTTGGATGTTGTAGGACTACTTACTGCAAGTTTTGTGGCATGCTACAAGGGCTCCTGCCAGGCGGTATATGAGGCTTCTGCAAGGGGCTTTATTACTCCGGAGCTCTATCAGGGCGGGTAAAGGCTTCAGCGTTTTGACTGTTGACGCTTAGAGGGTCTTTTGCGTTTCCAGGGTTCAGGATTCTGCGTGGGTAGTTGTCAAAATTATGGTTCCTTTTTGGGTCCTTAATATAGTACGGCACCGAATATTTAGGGTACTCAAAAGGGGACCCCAATTTTGACAGCTACCCACATGTTCTAAAGGACTGCTGGTTTACCAACTTGCTTGCTAAAGACTTCCCCTCCAACTCTCATCCTGAACCCAATACGCTGATTCCTGAACCGAAAACCCATCTAAACCCTAAACCCTAAACCCTTAAAATCCCAAAGCCGTATACCCCAGCCCTTACACCCTGAAGCCCTACCTCCTAGACCCCAAAACCCCTAGAACCCCCCAAAACCTCCTACCTTTAGAGGTCCCTTTGATAAAGGAACCCTCATGGATCCCTTTCAAAGGAACCTCTAAGCCCCTAAACCCTAGACCCTAAACCGTGAAGTGAACGACTTTCAAAGGTCCTGCGTGCTGGCCAGGGCACCCAGGCGAGATGGGCATCGAAGCCAGGTTTGCCTAGTAGGAGAGTACCCATACTTAAAGGCTCATGGGACTTAGTAAGTAAAGTTATAAGTAGGTTAAAATTAGGATAACCCCACTTAGGGGACTTATAACCCCATTTATAACCTACTTACTAAGTCCCATGATCCTCCAAGTAGTAGTAGGAGAGTACCCATAGGCTCCATAGTAGTTCCTTTTGGGGGTTCATATTTAGGAGCCTCCCAAAGAACCGTTGTATGAGGTCCAGTCCGTAGGACAGGCTCGCCCTAAACACATGGATCCCAATCCCTGAGCCCCCAAATCTTCCGCCAGTGCCAAACATGTCAACAGCGTCAATGAATTGGCGGTTCTACACTACGTTTTAAGTTTGCTCTATGTCCATATTACTGGATCATCCCAAATTCCTGCACCCGAAACGCTAAACTGCCTTATCAAGAACCTGAGATCCACAGTTTGGATTACTGGAGTGCAGTGGAGGTTTTGCTAACATGGCTGTGGATCTATGATCACTGCTTTTGGCTGGGGTTCTACTTGTGGACGAAAGTAGACTAGGGCCTAGGGTTGGGGGGCTGAGGCAAAACTAATCCAACAGCTGGCTTTATGAATGTCTCCGTAGTTGAACCCCGCATCACCCATACCTACATTTAAAGCGAAACACACATGCACGGGATGTTGTGCATGCTTGAACATACAAACGCAGTTTTAGTGCATTCTAAGCTGCGGTCCAAATGACAGGAGGTAAGAACCCTACGTGAACCCTAAACCTCCGCAACCCTCAAAACACCTGTCAGCGCTCGTGGAGAATCCCTGACCTGAAACTCCTGCACCATGCGCAGGAAGGATGGCGCAGATCTCTGGGATTGCCACTCGCCTCAACCGCAGACTGCGCAGGATCCGGTCACATAAGCTCTTCTGTAGCCTTTGGGTTTGTGGGTTGAGGCTTGAAGGCTTTAGGGTATATGGGAGTTTCCGAAAAGGAGGGGTACCTCATTTTGGGGTCCTTATAATAAGTAAGGATCCTACTATTTTGGTTGCTATATTTGGGTCCCCAATCTTCCGAAACTCCCAGCTACAGAGTGTCGGAACTGGTTAAAACCCGCCTGGCCAAGCAAACAGGGAAGTTGAGATTAGATCTACCGTTGGCATACACAATTGCAAAGGTTTCTTGAAGTTATGGGTCCTGGGGTACGTAAGGGCCCCTTATGAATAAGATCCTACCGACAGAGAGATGTGTAATGCGAAAGCTCTTCTCTCTCGACGTGAAGCAGCCAAATCTGGCTTGCCGTGATTCCCTGAACTCCCAAGTGCACACCAGGCTTGCAGCAATGCCGTCGCTCAGTGATGGCTGCTCAGTCGCCTTGGCACTGTTGTTAGCCCTGCTTGAATGAAGAGCTGCGGCTGCGGAATCTGTTTGCCCCCAAGGGCAATATCTACCAAGGCAAAGATATGTTTTTGCAATTTTTAGAGCCCGAAGGTAAAAAAAATGACAGAGTTTAGTGTGCGTGGGCATCGTGAAAAAGGTACGGGTTGGTAGCCAAGACCACGAAACGGACCTCAAGGCCTGAAACTTCGTGTAGTTCCTTTTGGGGGCTCATATTTAGAATCCTATAAAGTAATCCCAGAAAGGAACTACTTTGGGGCCTATGGGTAGGGTTTACGAAGTTTAGGGGTTCCAAGTATAGGGTTCAGGGTTTCCTCGAACAAACGCCGGCCCTGAACCTCAGAATGACGAAGATGCAGCCTGCAAGGCCTGAGAATCGACGTGGTGTGTTGTTCGGCGACGCACCTCGTCTACAGCTTCAATAGATGGATGGTTTTCAACATTAGGGTCCCTTTTTGGGTCCCTATTATAGTACGGCACCTATAATTTAGGGTACTCAAAACGGGACCTTAATTTTGACAACCACCCAGATGGTCACTGCATGCTTCTAGGCAGCTGTTAAGCGTTTCGGCCGTATTTAATCTTGCTATCATTAAATGTTCTAGAAATATGGAGCTCAAAAACTACGAATAATGCCGCGTGTTTCTGAGACCCTCGATACAAGGCTTCATCATGGCTTCCTCATTGTCAGGACACTATGCAAGACCCCGACACCCTACTCCCATCATTAAGGCCCCTGTATTACGAGATGGATCGAGCGATGAAGCGATTATCACACAGGGCACGCGGGATTCGGGCCTTGAGATCCAGAGAGTTCGGGGTTTAGGCGTTGCGTGCATTTGCGGTTTTGGCGTGTTGAAACTTGATGAGCCAAGAAGGCCTGATCTCGAAGTAGGGTTTAGGGTTTAGGGTTTAGGGCGAGATCTTTTGCCGCTGTCATCGTTTAGTGCTCAGGGCTTATGTATCTTTTCGAGTTTAGGGTCGAGCTTGTAAGGTTCAGGGTTTCGGGATGCATGGTTAAGGATTTTGCGGGTTTAGGGCTCATGAGTTTTACGCAATTGGAAGGTCCCCCACCTTTACACGGAAACCCGACCCCACACCCAAACCGTAAACTTGCTGTAAATCCTTCCTTTCTTTTTGATGCTGCCTATCGAAGAGCAGGACCGCATGCCTTTATGTTCAATGTGTCGAAGTCTTTGCCAGCCAAAACAGCCGGCCTAATGCCAAAACAGCCCCAAAGGCGATACTAGGCGATATTATGTAATATGGAAGGTTTAGGGTTTATGGAAGCCTGCATGGCAATTAATGTGGTTCCTCAGGGTTTCTTGTGCGCCATCCTATTGACTAAGCTAAGGCCCCTACAGTCCTACAGTAGGGCAGCTTCACAGACAGCCCCATGCTAAGGACCTTACTTGAAGGCTCATGGGACTTAGTAAGTAAGGTTATAAGTAGGTTATAATTAGGATAACCCCACTTAGGGGACGTATAACCCCATTTATAACCTACTTACTAAGTCCCATGATCCTGTAAGTATTGTGACTGCGGGTGGTTTGCTCTGGATGGGGATTACAGAAATTCTAGTGGATTTTATAAGGTGTGTTTCATTCATTCCCATTCAAGGCAAGCCCCAAGAGTGCAAAGTTGACGGTTTGGAACTCCTATGCCAACGTCGGAAAGCCCGATCCCATAACCCTTTAATCCTAAACCCGAAACCCTAATCCTAAACCCGAAACCCTAATCCTAAACCCGAAACCCTAATCCTAAACCCGAAACCCTAACCCTAAACCCGAAACCCTAAACCCTAAACCCCCAAAAAAACACCTAACCCTAAACTGACTTCGCCAGTGCCCGTGGTAGTTGCACGTGAGGATGAGATCCTGTAGCCAAGACATCCCAGAGGCCTGGCAGGCCATCCGAACTTAGGGTAACACGGTTTAGGGTTTGGGGTTTAGGGTTTAGGGTTTGGGGTTTGAGGTTTAAGGTTTGGGGTTTAGGGTTTAGGGTTTAGGGTTTGGGGTTTAGGGTTTAGGGGTTATTATATATAATCCCTAAGAAACAGCTACAATTATAATTTTTGCTAGGGTTCTAAGTTCAGTATAGATCCGAAGACAATGCTGTTTTGGAGGATCGCGGGGGTTTTGGGGCGTGACCCCAATATAGGGGCCTTAATAATTAGAATAGGGTTTTGGGGCCCATGATACTAGAAACAAAACAAGGAACCCTCAGAATAATTTTGGCAATTATTTATAGTCGTCTACGGTACACTCGAAGCCGATGCTACCAGCCCATTACATCCCCGAAGGCTCCTCTACGAACTTACCGCCTTCTAATATACCACGAAGCCCGAGTCTGAATCCTGAGGCCCCCGTCTTCTACGACCTAGAGTAGGCCCTTATTCCCTTTTTTAGGGTTCAGGGTCCCTTATAAGCCACCCAAACACTAAGCCCTAAGATTACTAGTTCATTGTTGGGATAAGAATAAAAACGTACATTCTTATTCCTTATTGGGTTTAAGTACCCATAAAAATGTAAAATGTTACCCAACTATGACAAAGATGACCTAACCCACTGCTGGGTATACTTTCTATGGGTTTTGATACCCACATCGGCCGCCTTCTATGAGCATTACTTGGGCCCGCAGGGTACCCTAAACCCTGAAGCCTAAATTCCTAGGGATCTAAGGACTCAAATATTAAGGCTTTCGGGCCCAAAGACCATACTATACAAGGCTTTTGGGCTATTTGGATCCCTAGGGAACCATAGCCAGGGCTTGACGATCCTTCTATTTAGGGTACTATGCTAGGGCCCCCGTATTTTCGGAAACTCCCATTTGAGCTTACATACTACACCCCAAACTTCGGCTCCAAAACCCGTGAAGTTTTGGTGCAGAGTTACCCTAAACCCTAAACCGTGGATTAACAAGGGTTTAAGACTAGACCCAAGAGTAACCGAGGAAGAAAAAGGGTGCCCTTTTTGGTTTAAAGGGTCTAAGGACCAATTGCATCCTTGGGAGAATGGTTTTTGAGCGGTGCTCCGGGATGTTTGCGTGTTTGAACTGCAAACCCTACTTAGAGGATCATGGGACTTAGTAAGTAGGTTATAATTGGGGTTATAAGTCCCCTAAGTGGGGTTATCCTAATTATAACCTACTTATAACCTTACTTACTGAGTCCCATGAGCCTTTAAGTACAGCACCTCAAGGTTAAACCGTTTCGGAACCAGAGCCTGACGCTACACTCACACCCTAGGCCTTCAGCCGCACTATGCTCCGAGCTGTATTGCAACACCAGCTATCCAAGCCCCACCCGCGCCTGAACCCTGTAGGGAAAACCTGGATACTTGAAGGCTCATGGGACTTAGCAAGTAAGATTATAAGTAGGTTATAATTAGGATAACCCCGACTTAGGGGACTTATAACCCCAATTATAACCTACTTAGCCCCAAGATCCTTTAAGTACCCTAAACTCCCCCTTATAGAACCCTTAACAGATCCCTTAAAGGAACCCTTTAAGGAACCCTACACTTTCTAAGTCCCACGATCCTTGAAGTACCTTGCGGTGCAGGCAGGCCTGAACTGTCTCCGGCGGATGGCTTCAGCGCAGATCCAGCAGAACGACGCTTGCTCTTCTTTAGAAGCTACCTACACAGCTAGACCTATAGCTAAAATGGGCCCAAAACCTACAAAAAAAAACTGCCACGGTTTAGAGTTTAGGGGTTTAGGGTTTAGGGTTTAGGGTTTAGGGTTTAGGGGGTGAAGTCTTCGGATTCGAGGTTGCGACTTAGCAGTTCGGCTTTAGAGGTTTCAGGCTCGGGCTCCGGGGTTTTCAGGTTCATAGAGGCTTTCAACCTGCAGTTAAGCCGTAAACCATCGACCCTACCCTTAATAAGGACCCCTAGGTATATACCCTTAATATAGCTATTATATAGCCCATTATATAGGGTAGGGGGCATCCTAAGGCTTTACCCTGCCAAGCCTCATGCCTCCCGAGACGGTAGCATGCGAATCCGGCAACCTAGATCTGGAAACTCCAGAGCTTAGGGTTTAGGGTTTAGGGTTACCAGGGTTTAGGGTTTAGGGTTACCAGGGTTTAGGGTTTAGAGTTTAGGGTTTAGGGTTCAGGGGTTTAGGCTTTAGGTTGCAACCCCAAAGACTCCCCCACAAACTCCTCATCTTATGGATGGCACTGGCCAAAGTCCCTGCTGAATCGGTTTAGGGTTTAGGGGTTTAGGGTTTAGCCCTGAACCCTAAATTAAGCCTAAGCCCCTAAACCGCTCACAGAACCCTTTACCATAAAGCCGGAAACCCCAACATCCCAAGCCCTGACGACTCCTTGTGGGGTCTCCTGAGGTTCATAGGGATCCTTAGGGGTGCAGGGGGGAGGGGTGTAGGGGACTATATTTCCTTAAATAGGCCTTATTAGTCCTTATTATGGGCCTTAAGGCCCCCTACCCCCCCTCCCCCTACACCCCTAAGGATCCCTATGAGAGGTCATTGTTTCGGGAACGGTTGCGGCGATCTGTGCGGCGGTGCCAACGTGGCAAGGAGCTTTGCAGGCGCAAAGTGGGGTTTTGGGGTGTGCGAGTTTAGGGTGTCGGTGTTAACTTGGCATTCTTCTGGTTGGCTCTTAGGACATATAGGATTTCGAACTTTTGGGGTTTCTGTATATTGACTATGATAAGGAGGGTAAAAGTTTAACTTCCAGGAGGTTCAGAAGTCAGCCAACTTAGGACCAGATCTACGAGGTTTGGAGTGCATGTTTCAGTTACTTGTTTTGTCGGCTTGGTGTATGGAGGGGGCCTTCACTTAAGGGCTCGGGCCTTGTAAGAAGGTTATAATTGGGATATTTTTCTAGTTATCAAACCTTACTCATATCAGAACTCGTTACTACGTCCCTTGAGCCTTTAAGAAACCCTGTATAAACTTTATTCAACTCCCCAAACCCTCAAGCCCCTAACCGCTCATGAAGCCGAACACCCTGAAATCCTCACGCCCTGGAGCCCTGTTTGGGTCACATCGCTAGGCACTTCTCCTGCGGATCATTGAAACTCAGCATACTAAATCTACGAAAAGGCACCGAGATCGAGCAGTAATGTTTGGGATTTGTGGTTTAGGGCTTGGGTTGAATTTCAGCGGCAGGCCGCATTTGCCCCAAGGGAAAGCGGGAACGTAGTAACACTAGCTCCATATCATCCCGTCAGAGCCTGCTTGTTGGGTGCTTACACCTTAAACCCGATGTGTTTGGGTGTCAACCCTGAACTTAGCCCTTCTCTTGAGCTTGCCGTTGCCATCTCTCAACCCTTGAATCCTCAACCCTAAACCCTTAACTCAAAACCCAGAACCCTTAGCCCTAAAGCCTTAAGAACCTCAACCCTGAGCCTAATTATAGAGTCTGAACTAGACCCCCCATCTACCCTCTAACATACCCATCCGTTCTGCGCCCTATGTGAGTTTTTGGCTGGCTGCAAGCTTGGTGAGGGGCTACCTTCAGCGACCCTACAAGTATCAGCAGCCAGTTTGGTGAGGCAGTGGCCCTAAACCCTAAACCTTAAACCCTAAACCCTAAACCCTAAATTTTAGAGGCTGCGCCTTGTGTTTATCGGCCTTTAGCCGAGGTGCGCCAGCGCAGCAATTGGTGATGAAAGTTGGGAAGCGTTTCGATGAATGAATGTGAAAGTATTTAATTTCTCGCTCGATCTTTTGTGTGTTAAGCCATGATTGGGGTTAAAAAATGTGAATCTATCTAACCCAGCTTTTGGGGACCATGTATGTCAATTTGCTTAAATTAAACCCCGCTTGGACTTACAATTTTTCAGAGAGGGTTGACCGGGGCGCCAGCTGCGCTGGCGAACCTTAAACCCTAAACCCTAAACCCTTCTACCATAGTAATTTAAACTTTATAGTCGATGTGGCATTTGATAATTTTTGTTGTGGCATTTGATCATATTTTGTGGCATTTGATCATATTTTGTGGCATTTGATCATATTTTGTGGCGTTTGGTTATATTTTGTGGCATTTGATCATATTCTGTGGCATTTGATCATATTTTGCGGCGTTTGATCATATTTTGTGGCATTTGATCATATTTTGTGGGATTTGATCATATTTTGTGGGATTTGATCATATTTTGTGGCATTTGATCATATTTTGTGGCATTTGATCATATTTTGTGGCATTTGATCATATTTTGTGGCATATTTTGTGGGATTTGATCATATTTTGTGGCATTTGATCATATTTTGTGGCATTTGATCATATTTTGTGGCATTTGATCATATTTTGTGGCATTTGATCATATTTTGTGGCATTTGATCATATTTTGTGGCATTTGATCATATTTTGTGGGATTTGATCATATTTTGTGGCATTTGATCACGGTTTAGGCCTTTAGGGTTTAGGGCCCTACGGTTTAGGCCTTTAGGGTTTAGCGCCCTACGGTTTAAGCTTTTAGGGTTTAGGGCTTTACGGTTTAGGCCTTTAGGGTTTAAGGTTCTTTAGGGTTTAGGGCCCTACGGTTTAGGCCTTGAGGGTTTAGGGCCCTACGAATTAAGCCTTTAGGGTTTAGGGCCCTACGGTTTAGGCCTTTAGGGTTTAGGGCCCTACGGTTTAGGCCTTTAGGTTTTAGGGCCCTACGGTTTAGGCCTTTAGGGTTTAGGGCCCTACGGTTTAAGCCTTTAGGGTTTAGGGCCTTGCGGTTTAGGCCTTTAAGGTTTAGGGCCCTACGGTTTAGGCCTTTAGGCTTTAGGGTCCTACGGTTTAGGCCTTTTGCTTGTGCGAGCCTCAGAATATTTTTTGGTGAGAGCTTCAGTCTTGTGGTGAGTGGTGTTACCATGGACTTTACATGAACTGCGAGGCGCGTGGACGTTTGAAGTGCCCGCGCGTGCAGTGCTCAGTGCGAGCTGCTTCGTTACAGTTGAGTTTAGTGTGCATGTTGCTTCTGATGCGCTCACAGACTGAGTGTCGCACGTCGTTTACTTGCAATGCTTCAGGTTCGCCGCAATGTCAAAGCTGTGGTGTCCTTATTGTGCACTGTCAGCACCAACAAAAAATGGTTGTGAATTTTTTTTTGCTGACGCGCCGATCAGTTGCACCAGGCTCGTCGTGCCCGTTTGAAGCTGGTACTGTCCTTAGCTATTGTGGGCAACGAACCTTGTGTCACAAGCATACTGCACTGCTTCTTAGCCTTACTGGACAAGTTGTACTGATCGGAGGTTGTTGGGCTTCTGTGTGTGCATTTGTTCTTCAGTTCACTGTTTCCAGCACCCAAAATTATGGCTGTTGAATCTCAAATTGATCACAGAGATCTTGATGTGGTGGTAGCTTTCTGAATACATGATTTGGTGGTAGCTCGCTGAATACATGCTCTTAGTGTGCGTCTGGCTGTTGTGCGAGGCTTCTGACTGCAGTGCTCGACCTCACGTCAAGCTCTTACAATGGTTTCATGACTTTCTTGTGCAGTCACGTGGGGCTGCAACAGCTCTGCTTGTGCTGAAAGAGAGAGAGAGAGAGAGAGAGAGAGAGAGAGAGAGAGAGAGAGCGAGAGAGAGAGAGAGAGAGAGAGAGAGAGAGAGTGTGTGTGTGTGTGTGTGTGCGTGCGTGTGTGCGTGCGTGCGTGCGTGCGTGCGTGCGTGCGTGCGTGCGTGCGCGGGTGTGTGTGAGTGTGTGCTTTTGTGGTTTTTTCAGGATATTGTGTGGCAGTGTTTCTCGGAGGTGCGCTGTTATTGGTGTTGCTGTCTTAAGTATATAACCCTGTGTGTGCTGAGCAGGTCTTTCCTGTCTTGGTTGTCCATGCCTCAGAAAGTGCTCGGGTGAGAGCTTCAGTGTGGTGAGTGGCGGGCAAGTGTGTAGGCAATTTTTTGTACTTGGTGCCAAAGGCGTGCAAGAAACGGGGGGCTCGTCGAGCCGATTCCTAAGACCAGAAAAGTTGCACCAAAATCTGTTCCATCGACAGTGTTTTGATGTGAGTAGGCTTGTAGCAGACTTGTTAGGTGGAAATCTTGGCAAGTTTAAGATATGTGGTAGCACTTCTTGCGCCGGTATATTTTGCTGTCAGCACGTGTGCACTTCCAAAGGTCTTGCAGCTATTTAAACTGCTGTGTGGCATGGCGGATGGCTGAGAGTCCACTTCAGATTCACATTCCTTAGGATTGAAGACGTGCTGGCTTGTCAGTGAATGGGCTGTCGTCTTAAGTTAAACAAATGCTGACTGTCCGACGCGCTTGACATCCGGAAGCGGTTGCGAGTCACCGACTTAACTTGCTTTACCTGAGTTGGCGAGTGGCTTCTTTCTATTGAAGTTTTTGGGATGATGGGAAAGTGCATGAGCATATGACTATTGTCGAGTCTTGGTGTATATATGTATGTCACGTCCTCCTTGGTCCTGGACAAGTCTTGCTGCATGTCCTGTCTCCCTTGCGCTCGGATGAGTCCTGATGTATGTCACGCTTCCCTTGGTCTTGGATGAGTTCTGGTGTAAGGCCACAGCTTTTCTAAAGAACTGCTACGGGTTCTTTGGCCCCGTAAGGCCACAGTTTTTCTAAAGAACTGACGACTTGCGAGTTCTCCGGGCCCGTAAGACCACAGCTTTTCTAAAGAACTGCTACGGGTTCTCTGGCCCCGTAAGGACACAGTTTTTCTAAAGAACTGACGAGACGACTTGCGAGTTCTCCGGCCCCCGCAAAGCCACAGTTTTTCTAAAGAACTTACGGGTTCTCCGGGCCCTTAAAGCCACATTTTTTTCTAATCAACTGACGACTTACGGGTTCTCTGGCCCGTAAGACCGTAGTTTGTTCAAAGAACTGACGACTTACGGGGATGACTCCTGTTGTATGTCAGGCTGGTCTTGGTCTTAGATGAATGCTGGTGCATGTCCTGCCCTCTTTGATCATGAATGTGCCCCGAAGTTGCTTGGTGTGGTTACCATGCTCAACAGCCAAATTCTTTTGGTTTGGCTGTCACGCTGAGCACAGCTAAATTCCGTAATTTGTCACAAATCAAGCCGGTCTGCGGAGGCTGCATTTGTAGATGCTCTCTTCTCGCATGGGATGTGCTGGTGGATGTGTTCAAAGAGTGTCGCAGCGTACTTCTGACAGGTTTATGTGGAGACAGAGCAAGTCTCGACCTCATGGTTTCTTGTATTTCTTCACTGAGAAGAAGGATTGCGGTAGTTTTGTGCATGACGCACTGTGAGGAGGCAGCCCTTTTGAAATGGTTTCAGGCTGGTATGTTTTTTTTTGTGTGCTGCGAGTTTTTTTGTTACAGACTCTATGCTGTTGGAGCTTGTAAGCGTGCTTCTTTCTTTACAGGCCGGTGTCGCTTGCGCACCGACTGCTTTCTTCTTAGTTGCGAGACCTGTGAATCTACGTGTTTCGATGTCTTGATCTGGATAAGTGCTCTGCTTGTATCTCAGGTGAAAGCACGTGCGAGGAAGAAGGTGTTTCTCTGAGTGCTTTATGTTATCATACTTGAAAGACCGCTAAAGCGGTTTGCTATGGTTGTAGCATGTGGCTATGTTAATTAAGGTAAGCCGCCGAGCCGAGCCTTGTCTTCATTTCT